AAAAGAAAGGAAGGGTGAAGGAAATAATGACAGTAGATATTTGATGAAGAATCCTACACCGAAGATATTATTGGAAGGGGTTGACTACAGGATGCAGACAGTGGAGGAACGAGTTTCGGGGGTGTGTCAACTGATGAAGATCCATTTTATGTAAGTGAGAGCAGCACACAGGTAAAGGGAGATAGCAGATTGATAACAATTAGTCTGACCCAGAAGTATTGTCTGATTTCATTAATAGCCAGAATAACAATATAAACAAACAAACTAGTCAAATACCTTCAGATGATACCGAAATTGTTAAGGACCAAAGGCATTGTATCGTGCAGCATGACCTTCCATTTACGGTAACGTCCTCTTCCATTCCACCAGCCATAGCATCTTCCTCTTTGGACACCCCAGTAACAACAACTATGACGACCGTTCCACCAATGACACCGATCTCACGACAGGAAACCACATCTTTTAACTCGCCAACTTTCAATTTTTTAGAATCCCTTTGTTTAACACCTGGGCAGGCAACACTTACAAGTACATCTGTACTCAACACCCCTATTATCAAAGTCCGCACTGAGGAAAACATTTTGTATCAGCTGCTACCAAATGGAGTGTTAAATTTTGGAACGCCTTTTATCGCCACCCCACAGATTGTGAACACGCCAGAGGTAAACATGGAAATGGAAACAGAGAATGATGAGCCAGAGTGTAAGAAGAGGAAGTGTGAAGATGGAAAGTCAATGGAGAAGTTATTAGAAAGAATAGTGATGTCAATAGAAGCGAACAGTAGAGCAATTGAAAGTGTAAAAGGGTCAATGGATAGAATGAACGATAGTTTTAAAGGTTTACAAAGGACAATGGAAGAGATAAAGTATGAAATAAAAGAGAGCAGAGAAGAGAATAGGAGAAGAGTAGAAGGAAACAACAGACACGAAGGACACAGAGAATCAAACATAACAAACAGTCGACAGAGAACTAGTTATACATCAGACAACAGACATCACAGTAGAGAATTTAATAGAGAACGACATAGAGAACAAGACAGAGAAGACAAAAATGGAAACAATAACAAAAGACGTAATAATGAAAATGATGAGAGACAACACAAAACCCAAGGAAAGGAGCAAAGCAACAGAAACACTGAGGAGAAAAACAAAAAATTGAAGGAAGGACGATCTGTATTGAAATCAGTGATAAATAAGATATAAACGATTATACATTAAAATATTCTAGGAACATTAATTATATATATCAGCAAGGAGTCAAACAGGAATGGAGAACTATTTAAGTAATAAATAAATAAATGGACTGAAAGTATTAAAACATTATGATGTCTATCAACACTATTGTTATATTGCTACTATAATAATAAGAGATAATTTTATTAATGAAGCACTGAAATGAACTAAATGATTATTAATTGGTTGTTAATTGATTTTTAATTGATTAATAAGTTAAATTTTTAATGTTGTTTAATCTTAATTTTTATTTTTACTATTGCATTGTTTCTGACGATTATTTTTCTAAGAGTTTCGCTATTGTTATTGATGTCAGATGGAACTTTGACATTTTAAGTGGAGGGTAATGATACATCCCGTATTTATTCTTTGTAAACAAGCTATTTTTAGAACTAGGTCAACACAAGTTAATCAAGATTTTAGTAAGTACAGAGAGTGTCAATACACAATTTTAAGGGAAATCATTTTTATACTCACTTTGGCATTATCTGAACTAATATTGCTTTTACAGTATTGTTTCATCCTTAGTAATTACAGATTTAAGTGCTTGTAAAGCACATCCCTCTCTGGAGGCAGCCATGTTGTTTCCAATTGCATTATGGGTAGTTACCCATGACAACTATATAAAATAGTGTCAGACTCTGAAGCTGTCAAACGATTTTTAAAGTTAATTATTCACAGTTAAGCTGCAGATCAAAGATGCCAAGGTGACAGTCATGTTATTTAGGGTTTAATCCTTTGATTTATGTAAATTTTTGAGGAACTTTAATTCATTTTTCTGATTTAAAATTTAGTTTTTCTCTGTACTATACAAGGCTGTTCCATGTACACTTTATTGAGCTGTGTACATTTTGCAACACACAATTTCTAGGTTGTGTTCAGAGTTTCATTGAGTGCACACAGTCAATCTGTGTGTGCACACATAATTTTAGTGTGCAGCTGAGGAGTATATAAGCTCCTGTAAATTCAGCCAGAGCAAGTTTCTGAGATTTTGAGCTTCAGCTTGAGTTTTGAAAGTAAACATTTTTTCTGCAATTGTAAGTCAACTTAATGATTTTTCTATCTTGTGCATTTATAAGAAAACTTTTATCAGTCATTTAAAAGTAAAATTTGTCATTTTTTAAGTAAGGAATTTATTATTTAAACTAAGGCTTGTTGACAGATATATTTGCATTTTGAGCTTAATTACATTAAGCTAATTTGACACATATTAAATTTTAAATATTACATTGCTTAAATTATTGTTTGGATTTTGTTTATGTCATATGTGTTTTGCTGACATTTTGATAGTAAAGTTTTAATTACTCATATGATAATTTTGATAAATACTAATGAAATAAATAATAACGTTTAAATTTACTAAATCTTGGTGTTTCTTATAATAGAAATAGTTTAAGTAAAGGTATAGGTAAATAAACCCTTAAGTAGAAACTTCCGATTAAGCTTAGCCATTTGGAGCCACACTCCCCCGACTTTGTCCAGAAGTAACTTGAGCAGAGACCTTAGAATTCAACTTAGAGATACCTAAGCCGGCCAGAGCGCAACAATATATTAGGAACAGAAGTAGATCATTGTTTATGTTTCTTTACGATTGAACTTTGCGATAAGGCAGTTGTGTCTAGTGAGTTTGGGGTTCAAGGTCAGATCTGTACAAAGTTACAGAGTCAGTTGTATTTTTTCTCGTGAAAACTGTCTTTTCAATTAATATGCAAAATTTCTATGCTCTATGAAATTTAGTTATAGATCTTTTAAAATTCTTCCTTTCATTTCTTTCCGTTGCCATGAAAAATAAATTTCTGCTAGAATCAAGTTCTTTGAACAACTTTTGAAGACCTTTACCAAAGGATCAATCTTGGCAAGTTTGATTTTTAAGGAGAAGAATTTTTTAAGTTCACTATATAATCGATGTTACACACAAACACGCTATCACGCACGCACCAACGCACACACACACAAGCACGCACCAACACACGCACACAAACACACGCACACGCGCGCGCACACATACGCACACACGCACGCATACTAACAAACAGGTGTATGTAATCGCATTGCCGATTACGGTGGCATAAAACAACCAAAAATGGCCTAAAATCCAAGATGGCGGACATAATTTGTCCGTAGACCTATATAAGGGAAGTAATATTACATGTGTATGTATATAATTTTAAGGAAAATTCATGACCCACATCTTATAGGTGGAGTTAATTTAGATTCATGGCTATCATTATATAAAATTTTGAAGACGTAAACAATATATAAATATAAACCAGTGACTTCCATTACAACTATCAACTCTCCACAGTGTCATTTGAATTCCATAGCAATCATTCATATGACTTTAAATAACAACTCTTGACTTTCTATAGCAACCAGTTGCATCTTAGGCAACCATTGACTTTTCATAGGAATCATTGATTTTTCAACCAGTTAAATCCGTAAAAAAACAATGACTTTCCCTAGCAACCAGTGACATCGATAGCAAAAAGTGACTTCTATATCAACTAGTTATTTCCATCGCAACTAGGGACCTTCGATAGCAATCAATGACTTACCCTTGACTTTCCATTTCCACCAGTGACTTCCGTAGCAATCATTGTCTTTACATACCAAATAGGGACTTCCATAGCAACAATTGGCTTTCCATAGCCACCAGTGATATTTGATTCAACCGATGACATTCCAAAGCAACCATTGTCTTCCCACAGCAACCATTGACTGCCAAAACAACCCTTGCCTTTTTCAATAGCGGCTATTGACTTTAAATAACAATCAGTGACTTTCATAATCACCACTGAATTTTCATAGCAACCATTGTCTTTTCATAGCAACCAGTGACTTCCATAGTAATCACTGAATTTCCAAATGACTTCCATAACAACCTTTGACTTACTATAGCAACCCTTGTCTTGACTAAGCTACCAGTGACTTATATTTCAACCGATGACGTTCCATAGCAATCATTGAATTTCCAAAGAAACCTTTGACTTCCATAGCAACCATGGCCTTTCAATAGCGGATAGGGACTTTCAAAAACAACCAGTGACTTCCATAACCACCATTTTCTTTACATAGCCACCATTCTCTTTTCATTGCAACCATTGACTTTCATAATAACCATTGAATTGCCATAGCAACAATTGACTTTTTCTAGTAATCAGTGTCTTCCAAACCACCATTGACTTTCTATAGCAACCTTTTACTTTAAAAAACAATCAGTTACTTCCATACCCACCACTGACTCTTGGCAACTATTTATTTCCATAGCACCAAAGCCAACAGTGTATAAACAGCAACTTCATAGGCAAATATTAAATATAACATTGAATCAGTGTCACCAGCAGCTGTGTCTAACAGCAAATAACTACAACAAGAGGAACAAGATAGCCCTAGATCGCTCACCTGACACATCGAACCCATCCGAGCAATTACTAAGACAATCATCCTGACCAAGCCAATGACAAATGAGTAAAAAATATGACCTGTAGAAAGATAACAATGTTTTTTCAATATTTGAGCAGTGTGAGCTAGTTTTTGATCCCAGGTAATCCATATTTGAACTTGACCTTAAAATCATCAAAACAAACTTGCAGACCAATTACCAGGATATTTGGAACAGCAGTCACTACCCATGTTTTTTCTATTTTTAGTTCCTGTGACCAAGTTTCTGACCAGAGATAAGTAATATACAAACCTGACCTAGAAATCATCAAAACCACCCTTCTGACCAATTTCCAGGTATTTGGATCAAAACTGCAGCAACTAGAGGGTTAACAAGATTATTCTATTTTTAACTTGACCTACTGTTTGACCTGAGATGTCCCATATTCGAACATGAATCTGAAATCATCAAAACAACCTTCCTGGCCATTTTCCAGAACATCTGGATCAAAACTGCAGCCACAACTGTTAACAAGATTTTTCGATTTTAAGCTCCTGCCACCTAGTTTTTAACCGGAGATAACCCATATTCGAACTTGAACCAGATATCATCAAAACAGTCTTCATGACAAATTTCCGGTATATTTGGATCAGAACTGCAGCCACTAGAAGGTTAGCAAGATTCTTCTATTTTTAGCTCATGTGACCTAGTTTCTTACCAGAGATGACCCATATTCGAACTTGACACAGAAATTATCAAAAAAAAACATCCTGATCAATTTCCAGGATATTTGGATCAAAACTGCAGCCATTAAAGTGTCAATAAGATTTTTCTATTTTTAGCTCCTGTAACCTAGTTTTTAAACGCAGATGACCAATGTTCAAATTGACCCAGAAATCATCAAAGCAATCCTCCTGAATAATTTCCAAAATATTTGGAACGAAACTGAAGCCACTAGAGTATTAACAAGTTTATAATATTTTTAAAATTGACCTGGAAGTCATCAAAACAACATTTCTGACCAATTTCCCGAATATTTGGATCAGAACTGCAGCCTCTAAAGCGTTCACAAGATTTTTCTTTTTCAGCTCATGTGACCTAGTTTTTGACCGCAGATAACCATATTCAAAATTGACCCAAAATTATCAAAATAATCTTCCTGACTTATTTCCGAAATATTTAGAACAAAACTGCAGCCACTAGAGTGTTAACAAATTTTTTCGATTTTTCAGTTCCTGTGACCTAGTTTTTTGACCGGAGATGACCTATATTCGAATTGAATAATAAATCACCAAAACAATTTCCCTGACCAATTTCCCCGAATATTTGGATCAGAACTGCAGCCACTAGTGTTTACAATATTTCTCTATTTTTAGCTCCTGTGACCTAGTTTTTGACGGCAGATAACACATATTCGCACTTGACCCAGAAATCATCAAACCAACCTTCCTGACCAAATTCCAGAATATTTGATACACAACTGAAGCCATTAGAGTGTAAACAATATTGTTTTTTCATTTTAAGCTCCTGTGACCTAGTTTTAAACCGGAGATGACCCATATTTTAACTTAACCCACAAATAATTAAAACAACCTTCCTAATGATTTCCAGGATATTTGGATCAAAACGGCAGTCACTAGTAGGTAGAGTGCAGGACTGTTAATCGCAATGTCGTGGGTTCGATATCTACTAATCCACTATCATTTTTAATAATTTTATTTTGTTTATACATTTTTCTATGTTCATTCATCTTCTTTCAAGAAAGTTCTTTGCGTGTTCATTCTGGAAAATTCTTTCTCTAAGTACATGTAGTTAAGTATTTTAGATTGTTCTTTTCGTGTTCATTCTTGGATATTCTTTCTCTAAGTAGATTAGTATTCTAGATTGTTCATTGATAGTATATATATATGATGAATGTTTGTACTTCGAGGTGTGTGCTAATTTGTGATTTTATGTGATGTTGATATACTGATTGTGTGCTGTTGTACTGCTAACAAAGTAATATATAAGTTCGATTCTGTGTGGGAAGTATTTTGGGCATATTGTATTTATTCTGCCGTGGACATTGGACATTGATTAAATCTGAGTTGTGGACGATTGGACAATTGAACTTCGAACTGTGAGTTAACTTTAGGACATTTGTTAAATTCGAGGACTTTGATAATAGTGAGTTAGACTTTATTTTCATAACTTTTATATTATTGTAAACAACTGTTTTTTTTTCTTTAATTAAAATTGTAAAATTTGTTGCTGCATTTATATTCTCAGTTTCAGTTAAGAGTTCTCTAGAGAAATATTAGATTTCTGTACTTGTCAATTAAGTATGATATTGCGTAAGTTTAATATTGTGTGGTTTATGAGCTATGGACATTTTCTGAAATAAACTTTGCTATTTGAAGGGCTTTTATTCAGAAATGAGAACACTCTAAATAAACTATAATATCATCATAAAGAAAAATGTTTACAGGAATGTTCGTCAGCATGTGAAGTTTTGCACAATGGGTTTTGCGAGTGTATTGATTCAGTTTTATTAGAGTTATTGCCATTGTCTTAGTAAAACAATGCAATTATCGACTTGTGTCGTGCATAGGCCAAACAGTGTCATGAAACTATACACACATTTTAGTAAGCCTGAGTAGTCTTGCACCTAGGCGGTTTCCTTGTGCTTTAGAAGTATTTTTACAGTTATTACCCTTGACTCAGTACAAATTTGCAATTTTCAATATTTGTCGTGCATAACCCAGAAGAAAAATGACAAAGAAGCATACAATTTACAGAAATTTGGTCAGCATTTGAAGCACGATCTTGGGCTTTGCATGTACATTTATTCAGAATTTGTACAGTAATTGACCTTGAATAAATGAAAACCATTTCAAAATACTGTGTCACGTGTATCTCTAAAAGTGCTGAAGCTAAAATCGATATACTTTATAGGAATGTTGATGAAGATGTGTAAATGGGATTTTGCGTTGGAATTATTTCAGTTTGATTAGAGTTATTGAACTTGGCTAAAGTACAAATATGCAATTTGCAACTAGTGTCGCACAAAGCGCAAAACGTTTTTGACTTTGAGTCATGAAATTTTACAGGAATGTTGACAGGGGTGTGTATTTATGCACCTGTAGGTTTGCTTGTGCATTTTGTTCAGTATTCGTAAAGTTTTCTTCTTGATTTATAAAACATTTGCAGTGTTTTTAACTTCTGTACTGCGTTATTCAGAACTATTTGACATATAGTCATTTAAATTTACAGGACCATTGATCATCATGACCAGCTGTGCATCTAGGGATTTGCCTGTTTTGATTTTCTTTCAAGCATTTATTAGTATATTTATACTTGAGATCTTTAATTCTATGGAAAGTCAAGATGGCATTAATCGGAAAATTTGTTTTTATTCGCCAACCACTTATGGGTGGGGCAGTCATGTATAATTTCCTTTGAATGTCTGTCCGTCCGGTTGACTGTTTTAAATCAGTAGACTGACAAAATAGTGGAATGTAAGGGCGTTTGTGTGCTTAAGACAAATTTCTAGTTGCCCTTGTCAAAACATTTAAAACATTTTTAAAACATTTAAAAAATTGCGCTAAAACGTATTTGACCTAGAGTCACGAAACTTGACATGAATGTTATTCAGCATCTGTATTTGTGCTTTTGCATTTACTCAATATTTGTGGAGTTATTGCGCTAGACCGAGATAGAATATTCAAATTTAACATGTATAGCGCGAAGCCTAAAATGTTTTTAGCAAAGAGTGTTGAAACTTTACAGAAAAAAATGATTGACATCTCTTCTTGTGCACCTGATGTTTCGCCTGTATTAAGTATTTGTTTGAGAAACTGCACTTGACTTAATAGAAACCGTATAAAATATTATTCTCACGCGTTCCTCTTGAATTGTTAAAGCTAGAGCCAACAAAATTTGCAGGAATGTTGGTCAGTATATTTAGTTGTACATTCTTGCAGCTCAATATTTGGAAAGATCAAGATGTTAGAATTGGAAAACTAGGGTGTCATTTTTATGCCCATCCACTCAGGATTAGGGGTTATGTATAATTTCCTTTGTCCGTCCGTCACACTGGCCCGTTGTACGTCATTAGAAACAGTGGAAGGTTGGTGCATTCGTGTTCTTTGTACACATTTCTAGTTACATCACTAAACCTTAAACACTATGAAAGGTGTCATAATAATATAAAAAGGTCCCTTCTCTTGGCAATTAATGAGTCATTGTTTTCGAAGTTACACACTTCTTTGTCAGAGTCATTTAACGTGCTAGGAGGCAAGGAAACTTTGATCGGGGCTTTCAGTATTATGAGCTGAAGGTTTGTTTTTTTTTTCAAAAGAAATTCACTTGGGATCGAAATTTTATGGGGACACTCTACTTCCTTCCAACGGAAGGGATTTGACATTTCATCTACGAAAACGACCTTGACTAAAATGGTGCAGACATATGTCTTTTAAACAAAGTTGGTCTAATTTTGTGACTATGTGTACTTTTTATTATATCCTATCGTGCATACATAAGGTTTTGCCAAGATACGAAGTATATACATTTTCACCCCTAGACACACGACCAAGATTAACACTACATGTCCTTACTTTTATGGAGGCGACAAATAAATTATACTTAAAACACTTAAACACATTTTTTACATTTAACTGTTACAGTAATGCATTTTTTTAAACCAATCAATACATGTAAGCATATCATGTTTGACAATTGCAACTGAATCTGAATTCCAGTCAATATGTTTTCTCATACATCGAAAAGCATATAAATCTTATATGTGTAAATGTTTTTTTGTTGCTATTTATTATCATTTTCCTTTTTTTCCCATTCCCTTAAATCACTTTTAATGAGAGGTTTTTGTTGATATTGGTCCAGTTAATGATCTATTTTCTGAATGGTACATCTTCGTCTGTTAAGGACATGACGGAAATGATGAATACAAAGATCATTGAATATTACCTATTTGATTATCTAATTTTATTATTCTATTTCGCAAAAATAATCAATTACCTTTGCAACTCATGAAAAAATCAATTCTTCAATGTTCAATTGATAAAAAATAGTTGGGTAGTTGTTTTGAATTTTAGGCAGTTTTAAGATTGTATCATTTCTATTATGTAAGTCATATTTTGGCCAATGACCATAATATTAGTCGGCCTTTTAAAATATATAAATAATTCAGCTCGCATTAAAGCGAAAATGTGAACATAATGTGTTTTTAACGTCTGGAATACATGTATGTTCATACAAAATTCCATTCCATTGAATCACTTTTGAGAATGCGTTTTTGTTGATATTCTTCCACATTAACAACCACTATGGTCTATATCCTCACTTGTCTCACTTTTATCCGTTAACTTAAGGAATTCCTTAAATATCGTCTCACAAAATACTATTTCTGCTCGCTTCTGCTGGGTGAATGTATGAACAAGTCTGTTCCTAGGCGTTGGACTTTTATAATCCACATCAATAATATGTTTAAGTGCTTTATATCGATTTCGGAGATTTATTTTCATTGTTGACGGTACATGCGGAATATCGCCAAAATCGCTGTTGTGAACAATGATTACAAGAAGTCTGTCAAACTCATCCTCTGAAAAGATTAAAACAAGAGGGCCATGATTGCCATGAGTCGCTTACCAGAAACAACTGTTTTTCAGTGTTGGAAAGTATCCATTGTCAATATTTTCTAAAATTAAAATTGAACATAGAATATGTTAAAGCAATAATTTGAAGAAATGCCATGACCTTGTGCATTTAAGCTTGAGCTCAAACGGTGCCAATCAAATTAAAATGAGCAAACTTGATAAAAGACTACATAAGAATGCTACGAAGTTTGGCGATCATCTCTCAATTATTGCAGTAGGAAGTGATGTTCAAAGGTTTTGCTATTTTTATCTCGGGGCCAATCAAATTTTTATGAGCAAACTTGATAAAAGAGTACCTAAGAATGATACAGACGACATATTTTGGTGATCATCCATCACTTAGTTCTGTAGTAGTTGTTTAAATGTTTTTTCTATATTAAGCTATGTTGGCCGCTTAAAGGGGCCTATTGAAATAACATGGGCAAATTCAAGTGTGACTGTCACAAGGATGCTACAGACTAAATTTGAATTAAATCTTCCCAGCAGTTTCAGGGGGTTAAAACTATTTCATTTAGTTATCGATCTAACTAATGAAAATAAGTTTTATTCTAAGAAAGGTTAGTAGAAGGTGTACTTAAAAACGATATATGGCAGCATTTAATGCATTTAATTGGATTCTAAATATTAATTCAGTACTTTTGTACTTGGGTATAAAGTGCTTTAGATATGCGGTCAATGTTTTTATTGACAGCCGCTATAACAAATTTCATATCTCATATTTTATGTGAATGCTAAGATTTACGCATTTGAAAATGAAACTTACATGGCATGAACCTAGCTTTGTAAAAATTCTGAAAAGGATTGCTTAAATTACTTTCAATAGAAGACTTTTATCATAAGTTAATGTCAAATAATGAAATATCTCTTAAAATGTACTTTTAAAACAAAAGTTTTAATTGGTATATGAAATAAATGATATATACCATGAACATTTTTCAAAAACGTGTCGAGCATATGCTCTAGACGATGTGTCGTTCTGCTACATACAGCTATGATTTTTGCATGATTGTCTTTGACTTCGGCTATGGTTTCGACCATTTTCAAGTCAAAGGTTTTAAACTCTTTTTCCTGTCTGGAAGTAAATTTCCTTTTGAAGTCAAGATTATTCGTTGGATCTAACCAGTAGAGAATGGGCTGCAAAATATAACACTTGCCATTAAATTTAAAGGCACCCAATAATGAATGTAAACAAGCAAATTCGTTGAATTTATATCCCCCGCCGAGTACTGGCTATTACTTTCACAACAACTGAAGACATAAGCCTTTATTTATATATTTATCATGGCGTAAACAGTAATATTCTATGTACATAATATATATTCAGGGCAATTACAGAGTCTTTATTAACTCGGTGTTAAATAGTAATATCTGGACATTGCAATAAGATGTAAATTGCCTTTTTGTGTCTAACGTTCCCATAAAGTTTTGTTGAAATCAATGCAGCAGATGCAAAGAAATAGCAATATTGCTCTATATGCATACTACATGTACATAACTTATCAAGGGCCATAACTCTGTAATGAAGGATCTGGTCTGAACAAGACAACACATTATATCCATCTCATATTGGTATTAATGTTGCACATCAAGTTTAATTGAATTCCAGCCAGTAGATGCAGAGAAGTAGCACGGAAACGATTGTTGCTCTATATGCATACTGCATAATTAATCAAGGGCCATAACTCTGAGTTGAAGTGTCTGAACGGAACAAGGCGACGATATGCGCATTTCCTCTTGGTATTGAAGGTTCCCATAAAGTTTTGTTAAATTCCAGCCAGTAGTTGCTGAGAAGTAGCATGGAAACGATTATTGCTCTATAACATACTGCATAACTAATCAAGGAAACGGTGAAAATAAGTATAGTGACATAATTTTGAATTAAAGATTTTCAGACAATTTTTTTAATGAAGTGTAAGTTATGTTTTTGAGAGTTCTTTTGGATTTACTATATTCACTTGCTTTACATAATTCTTGTATTCTGCTTAAATTATAATTCGTGATCAATTTACATAATTCAAAACGTTTGGATTTATATAAAATAAAAGACAGGATGTTTTGTACTTGAATATTTTTTAACTTAAACATTAATAACTTAAACCAAATGACGGTTATATTGGTGTTCACATCTTGAAATCAAATGCAAAATTCAAATTGTTTTAAATGAAGGAGATAATATGTTATGATAACAATTATTCATTTCTTATATTATTACATCATTGTAACTACAAACATTATATGCCCTAGATATATCAATGTATACTATGTAATATGTCACTTAATATGAAATAAAAAGCAACCTAAAAATTATATTTTTATGCCAAACTATAATTCATAACAAATGTTAACAATTCTTTAAATCACTAAACCTTTTATTGGGGGGGGGGGGGTGGTCGCATACGGTTGTAAAAACGATTTTCTTTTGGCGTTGCCTTGATTTTTTTATCAGAAAAAAAAACACATTGTAGAAGAATCATCTAAAATATAATGTAGAAAAAAAGAAAAATTTGAATAAGTTAAAAATATAGAACAGTTACTGTTTAAAAAGCAGAAAAAATACTGTGAAAACTCAACTGTACCCACTTTAATCTAAAAGTATAATTAAAAGAAAGAACAAAAGGAACTAAAAGAATTTTAACATGGCGGAGAGAAAGAAATGACAGGGTCGCTACACAGCTTACTGTAAAGTAAAGGTATGTTGTCAGCACGGATCGCTCGATTTTATCAATACCACTTAGCCGTGTTTTGTACAAGCACGGTTTCATTGAAAGGCATGAAACGAAACTTCCATCTGGAAAAACTTAATTTTACAGTACGGAAGTTAGTGATTACATATGGGTTTTATTGGGAACGTAAACGAGGCCAGATGGAGTACCATTAAAGTGATCTTTTGAGTTGTATGATATGCAATAGTGATAAGATATGGATTTTATTGAGAATGTAGAAGAGGACAAATAGAGTACCAATATAGTGTTCTTCTGACTCGGAACATGAAAACGAGATAGTACCAAAAGTGATGTATATTTGGCGATCACATTTGCTTTAAAGGTAGATAACTGAAAACTGTGCGTAGCAACGCCTCTTATGGTTTTAAAATTGTCTTTTGTGTGCCTGTCTTGTCATGGTGCAAAATAATTAAAAGCCAATGAGACAGATTTGATTCGAAGGTTGGTTATTAGATATTATAATGCACCTTTTTAAGGATAATGAGTTGCTGGTTTTAAAGATATGCCTGGGTTCCTAAAATGATTTTCAGCCTCAATAATAATTATTGTAATACCCCTTCAAAGGTAGTATATTTATTTCTTTTCCTATATGAAGCATTACGACATTTTACTTACCTTTTCCAAATCATTATTTTCTCTTGGACAAGTCATGTCACCTGAAAGCAAATTATAATGATACTTATAAAAGTTAAGTAAATTTGAGTTTCTTAACACATTAAGCACATTTATATTTTTCCTGCATACCTAAAGATAACCTAAGATTATCAAACACACAAACAAACAAACAAACACACAAAACAAACAAAAATAAAGACTGAAAGAGACGAAATATTGATAGCGATTTTAAAGACTGAATGGTTTATTTCTGAAAAATTTTACTTATACAGACTGCTAGTTAATTACAAAAAAAAAACATTCATCGAATTCAAATTAACTTCACCTCGATCTTAAAGAAATAACATTTTTTATGAATAATACGATAGTAACAATAATTAATAAATAAATTTACTTTATTTTACTTTTGCGAAATATTTCTAGTTGTATATTATCTCTTGTATGTTTTATTGGGAAAAACAGAAACTTATGAGATTTACCATAAAAAAAACAAACATAAAATTTAAAAGAAAATCAGAGCTAAATGGTCGTCACATTTGAAATAAGAGAAACAATTATGAGGTGAGTTTGCACATGATCTCACTTATGTGTCATTTTTCATGACTCAATTTTTCTGTACTCATAATCTTTGAAAATTGAAAATAAGATGCATCATCACTTATCCACATGCATACACTACATTTCATAACCTTGTGTTGAGAATGTTGAATTTTAACAATGTCCCACTTATGTATCATTTTCGTTCCTATATTATTATATTTTCTGATACCAAGGCAAGTACATATTTGTTTATAATGAAAAGGTAAAATATCGTTCACGATCTCTATAGTTTCCCTATGCAAATACAGTTGTGCAAAATGTTAAGTCTAAGTAATTTTGGAGTTATCTTGGATCAAAGTCAGTTCTCTGTTTCCGTAACCATAGCTACTACACATTATAGACAATTAGTTAAATGAGCACTACTTGTATCATATTCATAGTACCTCCTATCAACATACACAGTACCATAAACATAATGGGCCTAATGGTTAATGTATGTTTTATTCAAAGCAATTGCCTCTCAACGTCGTTGGTTCGAATCCCACAAAGGACTTCGGATATGTGAGGAAATCATGCACAGAAGGGCGCCTGAGGTCTTCCTTTACCCGTTAAGTTGTTTTAAGTTGCATAACGAAATGATAGTTTCAGTGTAAGTGCGACGTAATTCACATTTCTTCTCACGGACGGACGGAAACTTGTAAAGGAATACATGAAATGATATGCATTGTTTTCATACGATCCTCTATCCACAAAGAATCATCAACCTCTGTATATTTTAAGACATAATCAATATTTGTTAACTTTTCATTAGTTTTCATCATTTCCGTAACCGTTTAACCACTATGAAATAAAAGCGGCGTGCACTTTCTCCATATATACTTCTCGAGGAACGAAATGACAGATGTTAAATAAATAACTGACTAACGGGGTAGACCTATATTTCCCTTCGGGACAATCAGTAGTTGACTTAATAATCAAGGAACTATTATTATTCATTTTGACTTTCTATAATTGTTACAACTTTTATGAGAACAGTATATACATTATAAGATAACATACAATATGCAAGTGATGCTGTTATGTCAAATTGTAATTACTATGGATTTTACTTTTTGATCGTGTTTCATCATGAGTATGCTTGTATGTCATTAAATCATTACAACTTTATCTAATCTGTTAAGTTGTTTCATTATCTATCAAATCATTTAATAACACTGTGTTTCGTCATTATTAAAAATACTTAACGATGTCTGAATGACATTTGTGGATACCAAGATGTCTATTGATTGTGACATCTGAGTTGCAGGTCACAAGATCCTTATTAGCTAATTCGTTTCGAAGAAAACATATTGCTACAATTAATTCTTGTTTGGGCCTTCGTAGTCCTCGTTTCTAAAGTAATTTATATTTACACAAGAAACTTTTTTGAAATCATGATAATTATTTGACATTATCCTGAAGGTATTTAGATGCATTTGCAAGTTTAGGGACGTTACTCTGAAAGAAATGCTTTGGAGGTTCGTTTATATTGAACTACGTTTGTTTGTCAAAATCGCAAATGAATTACTTTTAAGCTGTCAACATGAAGCTTGGATCCATAAGCAATACTTTAGGAATATTCCCGCTTTTAATTTAGAACAGCTATGAACTATTTACAGACGAGTGTAAACACTGCAAACGGTTTAACGATTTCTTGTTTTCTTCTTATTTATAAATTTACTATAGATATTTGGCGCATATTCACAACAAATGAAGATCCACTAGGAACTTCTCCAATACATTATTAACACAAAACTCGGCGTACATGAAGAAACTCGACCTTTGTGAAAACAAAACTCTGCTATAAAGAGATTCCAGAATTCTCATTGGCTGACCATAAAACTCATTCTACTCAATAAGCCTAAAAAAAAAAGAAATTGAATTTCTTAACTTAAATTTAAATTCTTCTTTGATCAATTTTAATGTCAAATTGTGTTGTTTTTGTTTATTGTTTGTTGTAATTTTTTTTTGGCAACATTATTTTGCGGAATATTTACAGGTTAAGATCTGGACGGCTAATATACAAGTAATTACTTCAGACTACACTTCTACTACCGGCAGCAAAGAAAAGTGAAAATTAACGAAGTTGAGCGTACGAAAGCTGTCCGATATGTATTGTCTTTGCACGTGATTCTCGCTGTGAGCGCTTCCCACGTGGGTAATCTGTGTTCTGACCGATAGAGCGAAGCATAAGGAAAAATCAATACCAAATTGTACATGAGCTACAGCGGATTAACACAAATAATCGATTGAAACGCATCCACTCATTGACCAATGTGTGAAAAATGGTGAGCGCCAGCATTGCGAATTGCACTGAAATCCGGGGGGGGGGGGGGGTACATAAAAGGTCGCGCTGTATTAGGAAAGTCTGCGACTGAAATTTTCAAGGAGGTTGTGGACATTTATGGTAAAGGTCGGATGTCTTATAGGACTGTTTGTAGACGGGCTAATACGTTTGCTTCAGGCAGAGTGTCCATTGAAAATGACACAAAAAGTGGAAGAAAAGTCAACATCAGCACCAAACTTGCTGAAGCCAGAATTCAAGAACTGTTGCTTGAAGATGCGCGGTATACAGTGCGTGAGCTAGCGAAACTAACGGGGGTTTCATCCTCAACAGTTCACCTAATTCTTAAAAAGCAGCTAAAAGTTAGGAAAATTACAGCACGCTGGATTCATCATTTCCTGACTGTTGAACAAAAGAGGTCTGCTGTCCAATGTGCTCGTAAATACTGAAAATGGCACAAAAGATGGAAAAATACAACTTTTCTGAGTTGGATACGGGTGATGAGATCTGGATATACTTCTACGAGCCCGACAGGAAAATGAGTAACAAAGTTTGGGCCACGAACAATGAGTGTGCGTTAGATGTTGTACGCCATTTTCGTTACAGCACGTTGTCCAGCCCTACAGGTACCTGTACCAAATGGAAGAGGTATCACAGGCAAATTCTACCGTGATGTTGTCTTGAAAAAGCTGGACAAATCCTTCGGGACAATTCGGCCGAAAAGTGGCATGAGACACAAGGCTGCTATAGTGACAGACTTGTTGGCGGGAAAACATGTGACTGTACTCCAGCATCCCTCGTACTCGCCAGATTTGTCCCCCTGTGATTTCTTCCTGTTCCCAGACTCAAGAAAATGCTCGCTGGAAGAAAATATTCCAAGAGACCTTCAGTTGGTTCTGCCATATACCAGTGCCACACCAGTATACCTAGAAAAGACTACATCCGGGCATTTCAGATGTGGCTGAGAAGACTGAAAATTTGCATACAAGTGCAGGGGGAATACTTTGAAGGGATGCACCAAAAATAAGTAGGTTTTTTTTGTCTTCATAGAAATATAACCTTAGTGACAATACACTTCGAACAACCCTCGTATATTGAAGCATGAAAATTTAGCTGACGATTTATTAAATCTTGAGATTGTCATATTTATTCAGCATACTGTAGGGTCATACAGTGCATGAACTGTTTTGATAGTATAGACTTTGGTGTCCAAGGGAACTCGTTGGAGGGAGAGTCGGAAATATAGAGTTCGGATATTTCAGATGGCTGCAAAAAGATGAAACAGAATATGAGCCCGTCACCATAACTTGCTTTCGGAATAGTATTCAATGGATAAAAGTACCAATGTAGTGCCAGTGCAAGATGACAAAGAAAACAGATATAACCTCAATGATCATTACTGCTCGAAAGGGCGAAATTCAAATCCTAAAGCAATATTATGCAGTTCTAATATCACAGTGGTGTGTTTAACATAAATTCTCAGGAAGGATATATCATTAATAGCTCACAAGAAATTGGGGAAAAATATCTTTAAAATGTCTGAAACATATGGCAACCAGGAATTGTAGTTGTTCTGACATTGATTTTTATTGATATTTATTAAAACATGGTTCAATCTTGTAAAAGGTAACATTAACAGTACCATTTTTTCTTTTAAGTAGATAACTGATTTATCCGTGAAAATTATATTTGATAATTTCACAGTGAAAATTATAAAATATAATTTCATACTTTTAAATGACGACACTACTTTTTAGAGATTTGACCCATGTGGTACGTCAATCATATTTTTGCTTAGAATTCTTTGTCAGTGCTGTTTAGAGAAAATCAAAGCTGAAATTGGTAAAAAAGACATTAAAGTTCAAAAGAAATAAAAAGAAATAAACTTAAAAAAAATACATTCAAATTACCAATCACCAAATATTGTCCTATTTTGTTTGTTTTGATTTTACAGTCTGAAAATACACTTTCTTCCACATTCAAAACTACTCTTGATGCCATATGGACATAATTAAGTATCCTACGAGAAAAAATTGCCTTATGCAATGTTTAAAATAATGACAGTCACCAGCCCGAAAAATAAGTTAACAAACCCAGCGTTCGTAAGACATCCTTTCATCAATTCAATGATTTCGAAATTCCTAGCTGCATTTTGGATGTTGACAAATCTGTCAA